AGCTAGCGGTCGGCTGGACTTGTGACCATGCCTGCGCACTCGCTACGCAACACATGACTAGACAATGTGCGCGTCTGAGGAGGCAAGTGGGGGCGTGGCCTGCGCGGTCGCAGCGCCATTAAGGCGAGGCGACGGCGCGAGCGCAGCCGGGACAGCCCACGTGCCCGCGGTGGTAGAGCGAGCAGCAGCAGCGTAGCACGGCGTCGCGATGGTGTCGGTAGCGGCAATGCGAGGCAGGGTAGCAGTGCGCGGACGCGACGACGAGGTGATGGCTCCGGCAGTTGCTTCGTCATGGTAGGGGGCGGGGCAGGCGGCAATAGCAGCTCTACGCGTCAGGGCCAGCGGTGGCCAGGCCAGAGGCAGCCACGACCGGCCACGCGCGGCAGCGCGTGCATGCGCGAACAGCATGGTGATGCCGAGCGCCCGAGCTTGGTGACCACGTCCACCCGGCGAGCCAGCCCGAGAACGTGTCGTGCACGCATTTTAAAGCACACATAACAACTAAACAGTTGCTTTAGGAACCAAACCATCTTCACCATGCTCAAGATGGCATGTGAGGCTACCAACCCGAGCTAAAACACGACACCACCTCCTAACTCGATTTCACAAAATAAATCATCAAACATTGCATTATCTTGCTATTTATAAACTTGAAAATATTGTAAGTCTTTGACTGAACTTGATTCCAAGTTGCATTTCTAGGCTATTGGAAATGTTGGCTAGCAATGTTATTTTTCCACGGCAAGTATTTCATTTTCATCTACAAAGTTCATATTCCAAACTTTATTTAAGTGCTACATATATGTTCTATAGTGTTTTTTTGTTCAATAAAAATTAGTTTTAAACCTTACTTGATACATATAAGTTATGGAAAAGCTTCTCATTTAACATTTTTATTGATCATCTTAAGTTACAAAAATGTTATCTACACATTCTATCACATGCATTATCATATAAACATGATGCTCATGACATGATTTGGTACTTTATTTAGGGCGTAACACCGAGGGTGTTACACCTACCTCATTGACGTTCGATCCAGTGTTGACAAAGGGTCAGTTAGAGTTTCATTGACGAAGGGCCCGTTAGAGTTTGGTTTGTCACATCTATTGGTTCTCTTCAGATCTTGGTAGCAGTTGGTGTGTTTATCAGAAAATAGTCAGTTGGTGCTCTTCACGGCGATTTCGATCTGTTCTTTTGGTTTGTTGTATTGCAAGGTCTGGCATCTTCAATACTCTGATCTGATGGTAAAAGATTGTAAGCCTGTGTTCCTTCCAGAGCTCCTGCGGCCAATGTTCTTCCCGTGGGTTACAGATCTTGTTGTCAGTGATGGGTGGATTTTACGATCTTCAAAATCTTGTATGGCGAGGGTGTTTGCAGGTGTTCCTTTCCTTTGCTTTCTCTTCAGTGCATTTTCAATCTTCGATAGGCAATAGGTGATCAAAGGACAAAGATGATGTTTGATCTTCAATGTACTCTTATTTTTTAAAGGTCATTTTGTGTCAAGTTATCCTTTTTTACGAGCTATTGTTTTCGTTGATATATTTAGACACTCTATTGAGTGTATTTCTCAAAAAAAATGGATAGATATTTGATGCTTATTTTTGGTATTTTTGTATTTGCTAATTGTTAACATAGTTTAACAGTTGCCGAACAGAGTGCATGGAACTGAAATTCAAAACCAATGTAGCAGAATATTTTGGCTAACTTCCGCTGAAATTCAAAACCAATGTAGCAGAATCTTTTGGCTAACTTCCGTTAAAGAACAGACAAAACATGAACAGAATTATACCTTGAAATAATCTTTTATAAACACAGAACACATTATTCGTAGCAACTTTACAGATAGTCAAGGCACAAACCAAGTTGTGCAGGGAAAAAATTCATTCAAGAAAAATTAGGACAGTAAATTGGATAGTGGTTATCAAATGATACTAATGGCATTAGCAGCAGTTAACCCAATAGGTCCAGAAGATTTAATAAGAATGGAAGGGCTAGCGCCCGGACGGTGCTCACCGTTCGAATGCATCACGCCCACCGCGGCCGCGTAACAGTGCCGTAATAGACAGGAACGCACCCGCCTCACCTTGCCTGCGGATGCGTGCCGCGGAGGCGTCTGCCGGCCTCAGACACCCGCATGGTAACCCACGGCGGCGCCCCAACAGTAGTAGTAGGTGGTTGCGGCAGGCTATAGTCCCCCAGCCACCGGGGCCATTGCAACATGTGCTCCCTCAGATATACTTCTGAAACATCTTGTTGAAACACTTGCAACTTATGACTGAAAATAGATGAAACATTTGAAAAATACGCTTGAAACATGCGTATATAGCCATAACAACATATGCAACATCCAGATCTACTTTTGTAACATCTAGATGAAACACTCAAAACAAGCATGTTATGCAACATCCAGCCAGATAAAACACTTGAAACATACATCTGAAAACAATTGAAACACTTGAAACATAAACTTGCAACATGCGTATATTGTCATTGCAATATATGCAACATCCCAGGATCTACTTTTGCAACATCCCTATAAAACACTTGAAACATGAGTTTGAAACGTCTGAAACACAACATCGCCGACCTGCTTGGTGGGAAACTGCGGTAGCCAGTAAGCTCGTGGTCCCTCCTCCCCCAGCCTCCGCCGCCCCCCAAAGCCCATCATCATCCTCCTCTTCCTCCTTGCTCTCGTACAAGGGCGAGTACCGTGCTACCACCACGAGCTTCGCCGACAGCCCCCGCGCCCTCGGCCTAGCTAGAAACCGCACTGATGAGGAGGGGCGTGGAAGACGGCGCCGGGTCAGAAAGACCCGCAGAACACTACCCACGCGAGGGTGAAGCCTGCTGCGATGCCAAACATGGCCGGCTGTGGTCGCGCGCGGGCGTGGGCACGGCGGCAGGCCTTATCTGCTTTGAAAGGAAGGAGTGGAGGGGATGACTCTCGGTGGGGAGTGGGAGATATTTTTTTGAGAGAACAAGCGTTGTTTTGCCTGTAGCGCATAGGCCTAGGAAGCACGGCGTCCGAACAAACGGACGCCACGACGAGAGCATTACCACATTTAGAGTGATGTAAATCACGGGGAACAGAAGCAATATATCATTTGACTGCTTAAGCTGGTTTTCATTTGCAACAGCATGAAGAAAAGCTTCAGAAATGCCTGAAATTTTAAATGAACATAATCAGCACAATTCAATCTGTACTGGAATATATATAAACAATAGTAACGCAGAAAAGAAATATATATTAATTAATTAGCTTTATCAAACAAAAGTATAGTCATGAAATAATCACAGAGTGGACGTAATGAATACAAATTAAACCATTCATCGCTAAACTGATGATATATAAACAATAGTAACGAAGAATAACTGAAGCCTCTCCTTCACTGTGTCTTTTCCCAAAGAGTAGTTTTAGAAGGGTATATGAATAGCTTCGGCCGAATGAAATGAATACCAAACCTGCACGGTTAGAGAATGACTATATTCACTGATTGTGGAGTTCTTGAATGAACTAGGACAATGAAGTTGATAGCAAATAAAAGTTATTCTTAAGAAGAATGAAAGCAATCCAATTGACTGATTCTTAGGGGGTGTTTGGTTTTCCCTCCTAATCTTTAGTCCCTATCACATCGGATATTTGACACTAATTTGGAGTATTAAATATAGACTAATTACGAAACTAAATGCACAGATTGAGACTAATTTGTGAGACGAATCTATTAAGCTTAATTAGTCTACGATTTGACAATGTAGTGCTACAGTAAATATATGGTAATGACGGATTAATTAGGCTTAATAAATTCGTCTCCTACGTTACCGACAACTTCTGTAATGTGTTTTATTATTACTATCCGAACACTTGATGTGACACTCGATGTGACACCTCTTAAACTTTAGTCCCTAGATCCAAACACCCTGTCAGACGAGATAAGGTGTCTGTGAGTAGATTAATGCTGGAATACAAGCGTAACAGTGTCAAAAAATGTACCTATTAGCATAATAAGCTTTAGAACCCCAAGCAAAGAGTCTTTAATATTGGATATATTTCGGAGACTCTCTCCTGTTGATAAATGTCGTACATGTAAATATAAATCAAAAGCTATGATAACAGTACAGTATCCTAGCAGTTTTTGTTAATATTAAATAGATGCTTAGTAGGCAAAATTTATATAGGGCCTTCTCCAGATAGAATAGCCCATATCAATAATGTGAGTGCAAAGTTCAATCAGGCCAAAAGCTTGAGGTAAAACAATAGTCAGCACAAAGTTCAAGTGTACAACAAAGAACCTGCCAATCGGGCAAAGGTGGCATATGGACTCTCCTCAAATGGCAAGAAAACTATTCTAACAACCAGAGTACCCGCAGAAAGGAAAGGAAATGAATACATTTTATTCACTGCAATCATGAACTATCCTAACAATCATGAAGAAAACCTTCATAAGTTCATGATATGTTACATTAAAGTACGATTTGCGAGGACCGACTTGATTGACCACAAGCAGGCATCAGGAAAGAGAAAACAGAAATACTACCATTTTATCTCTATAGTCTGTACAAAGCACTGAAAAATGTCGATCAAGAAGCAAGGCAGTGAGAACGGTCGATCAAGAAGCAGGCCACCATCAATTGCTTAACAATGCAAAAATACCACAAAAGTAGTAACCATATCAAACATGCACGTAGTAATTGGGAAGCAAGAAGAACATAACAAGCACTCAAACAAATTGATTTCTCATTAAGGATGCCATCAAGAAGGTACATTATAATCAATACAAGCATACATATATAAATCACCAAAAGGAAAAGGATTTACACCAACTAACTATGCTGGCACTAGAAGTTTAGTTTTGCCGATAACACACGATCACTTAGGACTTGCACGATTCATGAACTAATCAAACAAAAAAAGCGACTACTCATGAACGAACAAGCAATGCATATCCAGCGCATCCAGCACAGAATCACGAAGCAGCCAGTATCCGATTCATGATAGGTCAAGCCCGGGCCGGGAGCTCCATCTCCGGAAAGAGATTGCGGATGAGGCGCAGGCTCTTCCCCGCCGTGGTTGGCCTCGGCATCTCCTTCTTGGGCGTGGCGGCGACAGTAGCTGCGGGCGGATGCAGGGACTGCGGTGGATTCGTCGGCGACGGAGACGGATTGATCACCTTGACTTGATGCGGCGCGACGTGGACGGTGCCCTTGAGATCGCCGGGTGGCCAGTTGGCGTCGTAGACGACCGCGTAGCCGGATCCGTTGGTGGACGACGACAAGATCGTGGCTTTGAGCCAGAGCACAAGAACCTGACCCGTCTTCAACGTCGCAGTCCTCGTGCGGACACGAACCACCGTCCCAGGCTTCAGATGGGCGGGGACTCTGGGAGAAGCTTGGCACGCAGACCCGGCCGAAGATGGGGCGGTCCGAGGCGGCGGCGGAGACGGAGTGGCAGGAGTGCAACGGGACGAAGCACGAGGCCGGGGCTGTCGTGACGCGTCGGTGACGGTGGAGCCTCGGGAATGGGAGATCGTCGAAGACGGTACCTCTCGATGCGTTGGACGAGGGCATGGATCCTGGACGGCGTCGCTCGAACCGTGACGCGGCGGCGCGGACGGCTTCTTGGCGACCGACCTGGTGGGCGCCAAGGGCTTGGACTTCCTGCTCTGGAGCTCGCGGCGGATGCTCCGCATGCCGGAGGAGGAGGACCGCGGCGGCAGATACATCACCATGGAAGGCGGAGGAGAGCTGCGGGTGAATTGGATCGACGAGAAGCGGAGAGAGTGGGTGGATTGCGAAAGGAAGGCGACGGCGAGGGAGCAGAGAAATTGCGTTCGCGCCAGGGGGAAAGGGAAGGGGGAGGGCGTGGGATATAAGCAGCTGGACTGGATTCTAGATCTGGCCCAGCCACGCGGTTTCGAGTTCGACCCGAAGTTGGATAGATAGATGGGCCAGTTGCCGTATGGCCCAAGTCGATAAACGAATCGAGGCTGGATCCAAGGTGTTTGTAAAACGGAAAAAAGAAAAATCACCAACGGAAACAGCTACGGAGGAAAAAAAGAAAAACCACCAACTTTATATTTCATGATTTTTCTATGATTTCCTATGATTTTTTAAAGATTGAGCCAAAATAAACATAAAAAAAACCACCAACGGAAACCGCTATGGAGGTAAAGTGACTGGTTTTGAGAGATGAGGGAGGAAATATGTCTGGGTTTAGAGTTGAGAGAGTAAAAGCTGACTTTCGCCATAGTTGAGGGAGGCAAAATGGACTTTTTCATATTTTTTCAGCCCGTTGGGCTCTCTCCGATGGGGATCTCGTCTGTCAACTTTAAAACCTATAGCCCATTATTAGTTGTCCTAGTTGCTGCTTCGAATAACGAACTATTCCAATCCTGGACCTTTGGTGTTTATTTTTAGCATTTCAGCATTTTCTAAAACAGATTATACTAAAGTCACTTGCAGCAATAAGTATTTTGCTACAACAGATTTGATTAAAACAGAAACATCTAACCCATTTGCGGCAAAGTGATACCGTAATCCACAAATGCAGCAATATTGTTGATAGGATTTACTGACAGCACAATTCGATTTGATTGATCACAAGCATGCATCAACAAAAATCAGATATATCAGTTTATTGAATCTCTCGGTAACAGCTCACCACATGATAAATTGCCAACAGCACACCCACACTTCCAATGATCTAACGCAAAATGTTATGTTACTATATAGGATTGGCTTGGGCAAATTAAGCCTTCTTCTCATCCAGCTCCTCGCGAATGAAATGAGAAAGTGTGCGAATTTTATTTCCTTAATTCCATAATATTCAAAAATATTATAGATAGGTACACATCAATATATAATAGAAAATGCCCATAGCATGAAGTTCCTCCGTAATCCTTCGTCAAGCCACTTGACTATCGACACAAATCACACTTGGCTTGATCTTCCTTGAATGATATAATCCACTTCATGTCATCATGTGGCCTTATTGGTTCATCGATCGCAACTTCGCTTGCTCTTCACCGTTGCCTTGGTCTATCGACGCCAAGTTCTTGCTCAAGCTTCTCAGCCACGTGCGGTCAGTCGCTCCAAAGCCTTCGACTTGCCCTTCACACTTGCAACCTAGTCCATCGTAGCCAAGCCATGTCTCTTGATCTTCTCCATCTAGCCACATGACATCATGTCATGTCTCATATGCAATGAGCTCCTTTATCATAACTAGTTGAGCACTACCAACATGAACAAGCCACTTCTCCACTATGGCTTTAAGTGTTGCTCACACTAGTGTACTTGTGTACTAATCCCAACATGAACATATGTTAGTCCACCTAGGTTGTCACTCAATTACCAAAACCAAACTAGAGTCTTTCAATGAGCACCAAACGTCCGCACCAGATGCCCCCAATAGCTAGTTTTCAATGGCTACAAAACTAGTCGTTTGGCGTGTCAGACGTCTAGTGCGCACCTCCGGTGCACACCTAATATGTCCGGTGTGTGTAAGTGCTCGAGGTGTCCCAAAACATTTCTATTGGAACCCCAGTCTGGTGCGACCTTCGATGCCTTCATCAGATACGTTTGGTGAGGACATTTAAACTATGCGCGCTCGGCTAGAAACCACTGTTCACGTCCAGTGCGTACACATCCGATGCACACCGGACTCCTCTATGTTTCGCTGCAAAACTGGTTAAGTCTGGGTGCCAGCCGACACATCCGATGCCACGTCCGGTGGTCCACCGGACATGTTCGGTGCCTCCTAAACAGCAGCACCAGTAGCACTCTCAACTCTTTTGCAAGTGTGCCAACTCTCAAATGTTTTGCCAGACATGTTAGACCAGAGTTCGTATTTTATTCAAAGTATTTTCAAAAACAATTTTGGCTTGCTCTCCGACATGTCACTTAGGCCTAAATGCAAATGCATAGAACATACACCTACTGGCACTAGATGACCAAGATTGCTAATTAGAGCTCCCCTCTTAATAGTACAACCATCTATCCTAAATCCCATCACATACTCTATTGCGTCTTGACCGGCAAAGCAAAATCTCTATTTATGCCTTTGCCTTCACAACTTGGATTTTGTTTTTTCTTTCTTCTTTTCCAAATGAGAGCTTGCTCCAATTGGATTGATCACCCTTCATCCATCTCCAAGTCTTGCTCTCCATCATGGTGTCGACCTAACCTAGCTTAACAAACACTTATCAAAAGGTTAGTCCACTAGTTGTCTAATTACTAAAACCAAACCTAGGGCTTTCACCCCCGCACAAAACCTAGGGCTAGCAAGAAGGGATATGGTTTCCCCACCACACACGTGGGGATGTTGAAAGCTCTAGTTTGGTTTTGGTGAATTGATGAAACCCTAAGTGCTAACCTAGTTTATCAAAGTGATCATGAGATAGGTAGCACATTCCAAGTGGTGAAGCAAATGAAGATCATGACATGATGATGGTGATGCCATGGTGATGATCAAGTGCTTGGACTTGAAAAGAAGAAAGAGAAAAACAAAAGGCTCAAGGCAAAGGTATAAGTGGTAGGAGCCATTTAGTTTCGGTGATCAAGTCACTTAGAGAGTGTGATCACATTTAGGATCGATAGCCGTACTATTAAGAGAGGTGAAACTCGTATCGAAATGCAGTTATCAAAGTGCCACTAGATGCTCTAACTCATTGCATATGCATTTAGGATCTAGTGGAGTGCTAACACCCTTGAAAATGTTTGTGAAAATATGCTAACACACATGCACAAAGGTGATACACATTGTGTTTAGCACTTGGGAGCAAGGGTTCGAAACTTCATCGGCGCCCTGTATAGAAAAGACAGGGTTTCACATAGTGCATCGGACGCTATCCTCGTGGGACAGGACACGTCTAGTGGCTAAACCCTGCGTTCGGTCTATAGCAGCAGTGAGCACGCGGTCTCGATCTCATGACCGGACGCTGGCGTGAAGAGTGACCGGACGCTCAGGGCCTACGTCCGGTCAGGGCTGACGTACGCTGACGTGGTAGCGTGAGGAACAGTAGTGACGCGTGGCAATTGGAGAATGACTGGACTCAGGTGCTGCGCCCGGTAGTACAGGAGCGGACGCGTCCTGTCGTAAAACAGAGGTTCGGGGAGCTCTCTAGAAACGACCAAACTCTGGCTGGTCTGCGCCCGGTCGCTTATAATTGGACGCGTTCGGTCATGAATGGAACCTTACTGAAAACTACTGGACTCCAGTGTTGGAGCGTCCGATCACTTTGAGCAGCGCGTCCAGTCACAACTTAAGTACACTGATGACCGTTGAGATCGGGCGATCAGCATTTGAAGCAGGGGACACATGGCAAAAATCTGAGGACCGGACGCTGGGGTCCTGCGTTCGGTCAATACGACCGGCGTGTCCGGTCGCCCTGATTTTCAGTGGACTGAGGAGCCAACGGCTCTATTTCGTGGGGGCTTCTATTTAAGCCCCATGGCCGCCTCAAGCTCCCTTTCTTAACCATTTGCATTAACATAGCAACCTTGTGAGCTTAGCTAAAGCCCTCCCACTAATCTCCATCACTGATTCATCATCTTTGTGAGATTGGGAGTGAATCCAAGTGCATTGCTTGAGTGTTTATATCTAGAGACATTTGGTGTACGTGTTTCGCTGTGGGATTCTCTTGTTACTCTTGGTGGTTGCCGCCACCTAGAGGGCTTGGAGCAGCGAGGATCGTCGAGCAAAGGTTGGTGATTGTCTCCGGCTCCGATCGTGGCGATTGTGAGGGGTTCTTGACCTTTCCCTGGCGGAGAGCCAAAACGTACTCTAGTAAATTGCTCGTGGCTTGTGTGATCCTCATCTTGTGTTGGTTGTGCGGCACCCTATTGAGGGTTTGGTGTGTGATGCCAATTAGCGCGTGAACCTCCAAGTGAGTGAATCGCCACAACGTGGACTAGCTTGCCGGCAAGCAAGTGAACCTCGATAAAAATCATTGTGTCATCATTTGATTCCGAAGTGATTGGTCTTCATTGGTATTCATTCTTGTGATTGATTGGTTCATTCCTCGACTCGTCAGTGTAACCATCTTGCTCACTCTCTTTACATTACCGCAAACTAGTTGTCAAGCTCTTTAGTGTAGCTAATCGTGAGAGCTTGTTAGTTTGGTTAGTGTGGCTCTTTAGTTAGCCTTTGAGAGCACACTAACTTAGTGTAGTGACATAGCCATTGTGTAGATAGAAACTATATAAACTAGAATTATGATAGGTGGCTTGCAATTTAGTAAGCTAGTGCAACACTTGCTTCGCCTCATAATTGTCTAACTGGTTTGCTAAGTGTTGTTGTAGAAATTTTTAATAGGCTATTCACCCCCCCTCTAGCCATTAGGACCTTTCAGATGTATGTGGACACACGGGGGAACTAGGTTGTGGAAAGATGATCAGACTCTAGTGCAATGAGACATTGGTTTGTAAGGACTTCACTGTGTAGCTACCTATTAAGTTAATTTGTCATTTCTAGTTATATATATATATGATGTATTGTACCTTGTGAGAAATGTTCGGTGTGTGTGAGAAATGAGAATTATCAGGTGTGGTATTGGGCATGCAGTGGCACTTGACTATTCATTGTCGGGTGTTGAAAGCCCTAGTTTGATTTTGGCTAATTGATGAAACCTATTGGACTAGCCCTGTGTCTAAGTGTGTAGATGAGATAGGTTGGTCCAAGTCCAAGTGATGGAGCTAGATGGCACTCAAGTGATGGAGGTGGTCAAAAGATGGAGATCAAGTGCTCCAACTTGGAAAAGAAGAAAGAGAAAAACAAAATAGGCTCAAGGCAAAGGTATAAACCATAGGGCCATTTTGTTTTGCCAATCAAGACACAATAGAGTGCGTGATTGGATTTAGGATAGATAGCCATACTACGAAGAGGTGAGAAATTCATGGTGAAATGCGATTATCAAGTGCCACTATTAGTTCTAACTCATTGCATATGCATTTAGATCCTAGTGAGCTAATGTTGACAGTAGTTATCATCCATCACAAACCGCCAACATAACTTGTAGAAATACATGAAAATGATCACCAACATAGGTTTAGGGGTTTAAACTGACAAATTCCATGAGTTTTGGTGAATCTGTGTTTTCAGCGGGGTTTATCCAGAAATCCATCGAGGTGGACCCAATCGTCAAAATTAATCTTAATTATCCACGACGAAAATATCTCCAGAAGGTTCTAGAGAACACCAGAAGGTACTCCGCCGAAGCAGGGCATGAGAAGGTGACAGGTGGAGCCGACCGGCCCCACCTATAGGTCGGCCAGCCCAGGGGACCCACAAGGCAGCCCCTCCTCGCTATGTCAGTTCTCCACCATCTTAGGGTTCGCATCTCCACCGTTCTTTCAAGTCAGTTTGATCCAAGAGCTTAGGATTGACGCTACCCCCTATGTATAACAGCCCCTGCCACCCTCCTAGCATAACCTTGATCATTAAGTCAAGAAGGATCAGAAATCAGGGTTTCTAGAGAATAGAATAGATCTCCAATTCTTTAAGTTCTAGTATAGGCTAGCTAGCAAGATTCAAGTAGAGTTGGGCTATTGCTCAGGATTTCGGATTCACCGTCTGGAGGCTGGTAAAGCCATTGTATCTCTCTTTATTTTATGACTTTGTGCTACTTCAATACTATGTTTCTATTTATTATGTTCCTAGTTTGCTCTAGTTATATGCTTGATATAGTTATGATTGATGATGAATTTATACATATATTCACAAAGCGCCGAGCTCAGTACTCAAGTGAGTTAAGTGGTCGACATTATGTAAGCATGGTGCTTAAATATTGTTTACCTACGGATGCACTCTATATTCTGGGTCATGTGGTAGATCGCGAGTGTGACACTCTCGTTGAGTCCTTTATAGTCCACTCCCCTTTTGTAGAACAAGTAGAACCCGGTTGCGAAGGGAATCAAACTCTGTTCTTGATCTTCCTTAGTAATGTTTCTTATGCGTAGATACAGAGTTAGTTATGCTATAGATGAAAGTATATATATTAGAGTGTACAAAAGACTTAGTAAATACGAAATGACTTAGGAATCTTTTCTCATAATTAATCTCCTGCCCAACCATACTACACTTATGAGTATCTATTTCTATCTCTGGATTATTTTTATCAATGCCTTACACTTATCATTTGGCTTACCCCTGTTATAGCATGAGAGTTGAAAGGCAACTCTAGTAAATTGCTTGCGACTTGTGTACCCTCATCTTGTTGTGGTTCTTACGGCGCCAAGTGTTGGGCTAGGCATTTGATGCCTATTATGCGTGAGCCACCAAGTGAGTGTGTCATCACAACGTGGATTAAGTTGCCGGCAAGCAACCGAACCACGGGATAAATATTGTGTCTCGTTGGATTTCATATTGGACACTTGCCCAGTTCGGTATTGCTCTCTACTACTCTTGCATTTCATACATATATATCTCTTGTATAGTAGTTGCTTATCTTGTTAGTTGCCTACCTAGTTGTTTTGCTTAGTTGTAATTATTTGTAACTAGCTTGTTCTCTAGTCCACTTGTGGTAGAAGTAGCAACTTAGCTTGTTAATTTGAGTGAGTGACATTTACTAGAGATCATAGCAACTAGTTTGTGGTAGGTGGCTTGCCTATTATTATAGAGCTAGAGCAAAATTGTATTATCGTCAGTTAGTTGTCTAACCAATTGCTCTAGTGTTTTGTAGATTTTTTTTATTAGGCTATTCAACCCCCTCTAGCCATTTAGGACCTTTCAGGTGTGCACTGATCCGGTATTGGTGTCATAAGTGCCATTGTCGCGTCATGGCCTAAACCAGCAATGACACTCAGCATATCACTGCCGGTTGATGATTCAATCCGACAGTGATAGTCATGAATATCACTGTTGGTTTCTTCTCTGACCCGATAGTGTTGTGCCTATTATCACTGCCGGGTCGCCTACCTGACAGTTATAGGCCACCCTATCATCGCCGATTAATCTTCGTCGGCATGGATTCTGGCAGTAATGGAGGCTTCCGACCCGACAATGATGATTAGATATGGCATAGTGTTTGTTGCTGTTTTCATTTATGAACATATCCCAGCACACTAGATTATGATTACTTACAACTCATAAGCACATGTACACAAGCTAACATGTTTGATCTTCTGCATTTATTTGCTGCCTTTTTCGAGTATATGAATCTATGCTAGCACACTGGTTTTCGATTAATGGCTGGCTGGCGGATGACCACCAGCGGCTGCAGCAGAGGCGCAAAGCACTGTGCGTCAGACAGCTCATCGGCACTGTGGGTCTAGGTTGTCCATGTAGAACACAAGGAAAACGGTTGAAAAAAAGCACAATGCACACCCCTCCCTCGTGGGCTCCATCCCCACCCAGTTTTCATGCACGAAAGGAAGGCTTGCCCTACAACACTATGCACGTGGAAAGCTGCGAATGTCACTACAGCTAGTACCACAACTAGCAGACCTCTCTGGTTCGAAGCTTTCCATTTCTCACAGGCTCACACTTCTCCGGCTGCCATGCCCAAATAAATCTAATTCACAGGTCGCATCACCAACTAAACCATCCGTAGCCAGCAACCTTCCATTTCGGACCTCCGATTGACCCAGCGGCGTGAGCGAGAGCTAGCTGCCCCCATTCCTGATTCCATACGCCCGCCGTATAGCTAGTACTCACCGACGCCTCCTCCATCTCTAAAGGTTCGCTGGGTTCGTGGTCCTTGCTGCATCTCACCGTGTTGATCCCCTCAAGCTACAACAGTACAACTACAAGGCGGAAGCATGGCCTCAAGTTCCAGATCCCGTGGCCGCGGATCTCGAGCCCGAGGTAGCAGCCGAGCCCACACCGGAGCTCCTTCGACGGACAACGCTCTCATCGCGCCCTAGCTCAACCCTGAGTTCGAGGCTATGCCGGCCGCCGAACTCATCGCCCACCTAAACCGCTCCCACCGCATAGCCGACTTAGTCGATGCGGCGCTTGTGTTCGCTGAACGCGAGCGCAGGCTCACAGAGAGGACCTTGTCCATACGGGCAACGAACGCATGGACAAGATGCAGGGTGAGATCACGGCACACAAGTACAATGCCCTTGAGGCGAAGGCTCAGATCCGCCGGGCCACCGAGATGGAGATGGGGTTGCGGGCTAAGATCCACGCGCTGCAGCTCAGGACCACCGACGCCGAGGCACGTGCGCGACACAGCTCTGGCATCAGTGGGTGCGGGCTCACGCAGCAGGCTGGTGATGGTCTTAGCAACATCAAGGAGGAATATGGAGAAGAAGTGGACCGCGAGGTTTTAGAAGATGTCCTCGGAGCAAGGTACCAAATCTCTTCTGCTATTATTTGTACTCAGGTTTAGTTTTGTTTGGTCTGCTATAGCCTATTATCTAGAGTTTGGTTGGTGGGATGGGGTGGGATGGTCTCTGTTTTGGGGCTGTTTGGTTGGCAGTCATGTAGGAACAACGACATCCCCTGTGGGAATATTTGGCCGATATGCGGGATGCCCCTAACCAAAAATTGAGGGGAAGAAGAAGGACTAAGTGGGACGAGCAGCATGGGCACATGTGGGAAAGAGAGGGGCGCGTGAGGACAAGGCTGGGTGGGGCGGCGACGGCGGCGTGGATTGCTCCCCGGGGAGCTCCGGCGGGCAGGGGAGGCGAGATCCAGCGGTCAGGGAAGGCAAGCTCCGTCAGATGAGCATGGGAAGCGAGCTCCGGCGGACGAGCATGGGAAGCGAGCTCCAGTTGTCTGGCGAGGGAGGTACGATCCGGTGGGCAGGCGAGGGAGACGAGCTTCGGCGGGCGGGCAAGCGAGACGAGCTCCGTCAGCACCGCACATAGTGTGGCCCCGCTCATCCTCATCGTCGCCCGTCGGTTGCGGGCGCGACAACTACTGTGGCGGCCGGGCTCGCTTGGGAACGAGGAGCGGGATGGGCTCACTGAGAACTAGGAGGAGGCGCAAGGCGGGCTTGTTGGGGAAGGAGGCACCAGCAAAGGACACGAGGTGCGCGTGCGATATGCCCGTGCAAGAGCCCAAGCGGTGGGGATGAAGAGAAAGGAGAGGAGAAAAAAAGTAAAAAAAAATGACAATTAGGTCCCACCTCTTAGTACCAGATCCCACTTTTGTTGTCTCTGATCCAAACAAAAAACGGGTTCATCCCATCCCTCGTCAACAAAACAAAGAATGGGGCCGTCCCGTCCCACAAACCAATGCCGGGACCATCCCACTCCACTTTAACTCCCAACCAAATGCTACCTTATAGCATGGAGGTCGATATGCCATGACCGATTGTGCGCCTCGTGTCGCCCTGCCTGCCCCACCCCCACCTCCTCCCCCGTCGCCCCCAACTAGCTACTGCCTCGCCGCTGGCTGCGCTGCCCACCTCTCACACCCCTCGACCCCACCCTTCACTAACCACAGGGCGGCGCACCAGCGTTGTCCTTGTCCTCGCCCCCGCACCTGTACCCCGCCCACACTAATCCTAGGGCAGGGCACCGGTGAGCTCCGCCACGACGTCCCCGCCGCCAGCCCCGCCCAACCGCCTTCCCCCGCTGCCCCGATGGGCGGCGCCCTCGCCATCGTCTGCCAGCTTCTACCGCCGTGTCGTGGCCACCGCCCCAACCCCCTTCTAAGACCGCCGAAGATTGATTCCCTAACCAGTTGGAACCCTAATCCTAACGTCGCTGTCGTCTTCTTCCTCTCCGGTGGGGCACGGGCGCAGGCGTGGGCGCATGGGCATGATCGCGTGGGAGAGGGAGAGGGAGAGAGAGAGGGTGGGCCGGCCCACGTCGCTCCATCCGCACGACGGTCGCATAGTAAACTTTGCGTAGCATAGTATTATTAGCCTCGAGAGAACCCTAATACTAATGTCCATAACTATTTGCATGGGCGGACACACAGGGTATGCTAGGTGGGCCATGGCATACCCTGTGGGGCATGCCTTGTACTTAACACTGGATTGTCATCCTTTTAACCATAAGGTCGCTTGTTCCACCATTCTAAGCTGCATTTTTTGTTTTTATTTTCCACTTTTATGTCCCCTTCAAAATTAACTATAGATAATATATTTCTGTTTTTAGTTTTTCTATTTTTATCCTATCATGTTGTGTGCCGTGAAACCATAGTTGCTAGTAGTTTTTAATTTCTTATCTTTTATCCTCTCTCGGTATTAATAACTATATATGATATATTTTATCCTTTATTTTGTAGTTTTTTATCCGATGTTGTGTGCCCTAGTGAGACACGACGCCCTGAAATAGAATGGCAAATAAAAGTGATATCACTTTGGCATGATTTCATTGTCACTATTGCTATGTACAATGCTATTTTAAATTTCCATTTCTTTTGTCCCCTTTAAAATTCACTATAGATAATATACTTCATCCTTTAGTTTTTCTATTTTTAACCCCTCTTGTTTTGTCTCATGAGACCTCAGATGTGTCTTTGTTTTTATCTTTTCATTTTTATCCCCTCTAAATATTATAGATATAAATAATATATTACATCCTGTTGTGGCCTGTGAGCTACGCCATGAAATGGAATGAAAATCAATAGCTATATAGAGTATCGTGTCCCTTTACAAAGTCTGCACTCCAACATTAGTTGTGTATCATGGAGATTAGCCAGATCAGTTATTAGAGATTGGTTTGTAGTTCGCCCAATATTAGTATTAGAAGATGGTTATATTTCAAATTATTTTGTATTTCATTTGAACTTCTATATCGTAATTTGTCATAGTTTTTAGCTTAATATTTGAATTTCAGGCTTGTTATTAATGCATGAGGTTTTACCGAAATAGAATATGGTTTACCCAATTGAAAATGGTTATACATAACTGCACAAGAAATTTTTTTTGTGCGGCGTACCCTGTGCTTAAATCCTAGGTCTGCCGCTGACTATTTGTTACACTGTCTCAGGGTCATAGCAGGCTGCAAGGTTCCAAAAGAGGAGGCAAAGGGAGAAGACGTGGCCGCGAGTCATCATAGATGTTCGCAAGGGGAACAGCATGCAAGAGCCACCAAGAAGGCTCGCAGGCAGAAGGGGACGTCCTACTACAAAATGGTTTTGAACACCCTCATGGAGAAACAGGAGCTTCTCCCAGAAAAGGAGGAGGCCTTTGCCAAGGAAGCTGCTGCCACTGCATCCAAGCTTCTGTACCGCAGGTGCTAGTCGAATGCACCATATATGCCTGCAATGTCTACGGCTGTGGAGGAGGATTCTAATGACGGGCTGAATGATTCTTAGTGGTATGATGCATTATACGGTTTTTCCTATTCTCTGCTATAATGGACCAATTGAAATTATACTAGGTCCTCTCAGAAAAACGCCACCCACTGAAAGCCTCAAACCATTATGTACCCAAAAAAAATATACACAGGACTTTATCTTCGTTAAAATCAAAGGCTAATAAAACAGCTAAACTAAATCCGATCTCTGATGTGTGATGTCAGGCTTCCCACCCCATCCCACTCACGCGGGCTTCAAACGCGCACGCGCGATCTACCCACGCTCGCTGACGCGGGTTCGATTCCCCTCTCCCTCCTGTTTCGTTGCTTTTTACCATGAGAGATGAGAGAAGAAAAAAATCACCAGGAAACCAAACGTCGCATGCAGGGTAGCCCACCCCGCCGGCCGCATTGGCCACGAGGCCAGTGCTGGCCCCACCACCAGGGCGCTAGGGAAGGGGAGCGAGACGTGAGGAAACCCTTGCCTCTAGATATGCCGTGATGGGCTGCCTCGGCGACAACGCGGAGCCGCAGGGCGCGAGGCGGCAGCCGTGGTTCCTAGGACCTCCCTCCGATGACAGCGGCGGCGCCCCCATCTTGCGACTCCGCAGACTAGATCCGGCGGTGGCACCTCTTGATCCTCACCGTCGGTGTTTCGAGTAAACACTAACGAGTAAATTTGTATTATTGCGTGTCTAGCCCGGATGGTGTGCTAAGAAGACACGAGATTATATACTGGTTCGGGCAGAATGTCCCTACGTCCAGTTCGTTGCCGCTGCTCATGTTACTAGCACTAAAAAGTTCATAGTATGGGTTACAAATGGGCGAGAGAGGGACAGGTCCCAAGTCTCGGGTGGAAAGAACGAATGGGTGCCGAGAGCTTGGTCGCTGCTCAGCTATGTGCTAGAGGTTTGATGCTAGCGCTCTTGATCTGATGTGGTGCGATGAACCGATGCCCCTTAGTGGGACGCCCTGCTTTCCCTTTTATAGGCCAAGGGAAAGCAGGGGTTACAACGGAGGGGAAGGAGGAGAAAGAGGGAGAGAAAAAGTCCTTTAGGGTCGTCGGGCCTTTTTTTCCTCCGTGCAGGCTACGCTGACATGGCAGGTGGTGACAGGGACAACTCTATGTCGGGCGCCTATCCGCCGATGATGCCATGCCCTGGCATTGTCAACAGGTCGTAATGTCCCACTCCACCCTGGCGGGCGGCGCGGTGAACCAGCGTGCTGATCAGCGGCCGTACAGGGAGTGGGCAGCATAGTGACCACGCGTCATTCACCGTGGGCGATGTGAGTTCCCTGGAATGACATGTTGTGGGGACAGGTCGTGTTGAGACGTGACTGCTCCCTGCAAGTTGCCAGAACTTTGACCTTAGGTTGTACTTTCTGGACCATAGTGGTTGTTGTGAGCTTCCGTTAGGATCCATGTCCAAGGGATGGGGCAAGGCGAAGCCAGCCCTTAGACATCGGGCGAGGAGGAGCTAGCCCTCAGACGTTGGGCGAGGCGGAGCCAGCCCTTAGACGTTGGGCGAGGTGGAGCCAGCCCTCGAACGTTGGGCGAGGCAGAGCCAGCCCTTAGACATCAGGCGAGGCAGAGCCAAACCTCAAGGGTCGGCCGAGGCGGAGCCCACGGCCTCGGTGGTCGGCAAGAGCTGGAGCCAACCCTCGGGGGTCGGACGAGGTGGAGCCCACGGCCTCGGTGGTCGACAAGAGCTAGAGCCAACCCTCGGGGGTCGGACAAGGCGGAGCCCACGGCCTCGGTGGTCAGCAAGAGCCGTAGTCACGCTCTTGACTGCTCGGATGAATCAGCGTTGATGGTTATTAACTCCTCCTCTTTGGGTACCCTAGTATTGGTCCCCGACAGTAGCCCCCGAGCCTACAAAGGAGTAGAATACTCATTCGAAGGTTTTTCCAAAAGGGAGGACTTTGAGGGTCCTGGCCTTCATTCATTGCCCACGGCATGTCCTGGGGACGGTGATTCCCCCTTGTCGAGATCTGACCCTTTGCGGGTGTGGCCATGAGACTTGGTGGTTTGTTTGTTGGCTAGTTCGACTGTGGTGTCGGCATCCCGCTCACAGGGATCTGTCTAGGGTCAGCTTGGTGATCGACTCTAGCTTTTTGGCGGTCGATCCACATAGTTCTCGGGTCCGTTCGACCGGTCCCGAGGGCTAAGTGCCTTTCTTCGAGGAAAATTTATGGATCGTAACCAGCCGAGACTCAAACATGAGCCGGGATGCCAGTGGCGCTCATGCGCCTGGGTACTGGTAGCTTGCGGGCCCATCCCTTTCCATCCCTTATTCTAAGGATGCCCGGAGCGGTTGTCGAAACCGCTGATGGGCCAATCCTCGAATTCCTGGGCCCAAATGGGCCGTAGAGGTGTTTTTTGATCCGTATTCTTCTTACTTGTGATGAGTCGTGGCCCGCCTAGGGAGGCAAAACGTCCAGCGAGTCTTCTGAGAAAAAGGATAGGGATTGCGTGCGCATATCCCATAGCATGACGTTGTGGCAGATCGTGGTAGGCACGGAGATCTAGGTGGACGGTTGGTTTTCACACCCATCGCCTCTATAAAACCAAAGGGTTCACCCCGGTTTCATACCTTGCCTTCCTGCCTTCGCATCTGCAATCGTTGTCGCCAATCGCCTAGGCTTCCTGCATCCGCGTCCCAGCCGCCATCGAGCTCGCATCCACCCGCCCCCATCTTCCAATGGATCCATGGTGCCGCTCTGACATCACCTTCCAGTGTGTGGAGGGCCTCGTCCATCGTGGCCTTCTCCGCGCACGAACCTCAGCCGAGGAGTGGCTGCTGCCAAGAGAGGAGGAGATGCCATCACCGCCTGATGGCTATGTGGTGTCGTTCGTGCACTTCCATGAGCGCGGGTTCACCACCCCTGCCCATAGATTTCTTCAGGGGCTGCTGCACTACTACAAGATCGAGTTACAGCACCTCAATCCCAATGGGATTCAGCACATGGCAGCATTCATCGCCCTGTGTGAGGGACTCTTGGGGATCAGTCCCCACTTCGATCTATGGCAGCACTTCTTTGTCGTCACCCTCCAAAAGAAGAGGGAGAAGAGCGACAAGCAGGAGATGCATACGCCGATGCGATGCGCCAGCATCCACCTCCGAAACAATCGGATCAGCGAGTACCCGTCGATGCGGCTGTTGACCTCCAACAAGGGGTGGCATTCGTAGTGGTTCTATCTTAAGAACGACACCACCGCCCCCCTATCGGAATTCACTGGGCGCCTGATCGAAGAGGCCCCGGGATCGTGGAGGAAGTGGGGTGTCCCAGAGAAGGATAAGAAGAAGATCTAGGACCACCTTGCCGCCATCCGCATCCTGAAGGAGAGCAGCCTGACGGGGTTGGGCATCATCGGGGCCTACCACGCGAGGAGGGTGGCGCTGTTGATGAGGCGCACGCTTCCGCTGTATGCGATGGCACCCGAGGCATCATTCGACGAGACAGCGCTTGCCGAGGGAGCGCTCTCCCACTCTGAAGTTGTGCATCGCATTAAGGAGGCGATGGAGCCTTTGTGGGACGATGCGGGTGCCCTCCTTGATTTTGTGTACCTGGTGCCAGGGCATCCTCCGATGTGGTCGGAACTAGGCTACGTCGTCTTTGTAAGTTTCCTCGCCTCATGCCTCCTCTTCAATTGATCTCCCGACCTCTTGATACTAACATTGATATGGGGAGACCAGCCGAGGGACCTCATCCTCATAGATCACTCGGCTCCATTACTGAGGGATTCGTCCATGAGAGCGGTGAATCACGTCGAGGGCGAGCGGCTTAGGAAGACAAAGGAGGACAAGAGGAAGAAGAGGCAGCAGAAGCTACAGGCATGGGAGCAGGGGGAGGACACCGACAGCGATGACGATGATGATGAGGAAGACGACAACAAGGTAGTCGATGACATCGAGTGGGATGACCTAGGGAGTGAGGATGTGCTGATAGGTATCCACTCGTCCTTATAGGAGTCGGGGCCCTTCTCGTTCCATGGAGGGAGGGCACATCCATGGGGCCAGCGGAGATGGGCCGGACTGTCGGCCAGCCCCAGGAGCCAACAGGGGTGGGCAGATCTACCGCCGTGCCTGAGGTGCCAGCGGAGGTGGGTGGCTCCGCTGTCATGCCCCAAGATGCAAGGAGAGCGAGAAACTCTGCTCAGGAGCAGGGGGCGGGCTTGAAATAGCTCCGCCCAGATGAGGTGGAGCAGGGGTCTAGGGGTTCGCCCCCCAAATGTATCCGTCGACCAACAGCGCCGATGGAAGTCATCAGCTCCTTAGTTTTTCTCTGTTTTGGTCAGATTTCATCGTGACTTATACTTTTCGTTCCTTGCAGTGTCGTGAGGCTGCATAATCCTTTGGCGCTGACACCAAAGAAGAGGTCGCCCTTCAAGCGGGAAGGTAACCATCGGTTGGCGTCACACCCATTTTGGGCAGGAGCGGCACTGGTGTGACTGCGTCGCCGGCCGGTCAAGCGCCGCCCATGGTGGTGCATGTGCCCTTAGTGGGACAAGCGGGTGCAAGGGCTTGAGGGATGCCTTCGGAGGTCGCTGAGCAGCCAGCGATGGAAGCAATACCGCTACCGATGATGGGGTGGATGGAGCTACCGACCGCGCTCATGGTGCCGGCCACGGCGGGCACGACGCAGCCGGTTGAGGCCCGCTGACGCAGGGGGGGTGGCGGCTGTGATGAGCGGGCCACAGCTGGACGCAACCATGGCGGTGCTTGAGGCAGCGGCATGACCCATGCCACCGGCAGCCCAAGCAACGACGCCCGATGTGGGCCAGACGGAGGGAGACACCACTGAGGGGTCCCAAGACATCGTGGTGGTGGCAGAGAGGACCAGCGGGGGATTGTCCCTGGCCCTGATGTTAGGAGGCAGTGACTCGCTCGCGTGGGGCAAGCCCCTACTCTGGTGGACAAATCCACAGGAGCTGACGTCGAT